GCCCAGCTTCCCAATCTATTAAGTGGCCTTGCAAAATTTAATCAATCACTCTCCTGCATTATTTCTTGATCCTAGTGCCAGTACTCCTACAATCTTTGACTCTACTCTATTTTGTACTTTTACATTTCAATTACCTATAATCATCAATATGTCCTCTTTTGCTGTCTGATCAATTTCCTCCTGGACTTCGGCACAGAATCTTATTGATATTATTAGGTCAACCTTTGCATTATATCTTTTGACTGTTTTTGCTACTTCTTTCCTCATTATTAACGCTCCCCCATTTTTTCTTAGATTTTTGTTTCCTGAGTAAATCACTGTGTAATTATCTGACTGATAATATTCCATTCCTGTCTGCTTTAGCTCATGTATTGCACTGTTTATATGTTCCATTTCTTTTTTTTAATATGTCTAGCTTCCCCTGATTCATTCATCTCACATTGTATGTTCTTATAATATGAGTTGTGCAGCATCAGACTTGCCTTTCATCTCTGAGCACATCAACAGCTGACTGTCCTTTTGTCTTGAGTTCAGCTGCCTCCTTAGCTACAACACTTCCCAGTAGCGTTCTGAGTGGCTTACCACTGAGAGTCTCATCTTCTGGCAATATCTCTTGTTTCATGTGGGATTGTCTTATCATAGGGTTTACATTGTGGAAGATATTTAAAAAGTTTTACTGTGCCTACTTCTGCACAGTATTAACAAGTGTTAACTATAGTGCCACTTCTGCTGTCTCTGAAAGAACCTTCCTCAATGTCACCTTCTACTACTGCTGCTATGCAGCAGCTATTTTAGTCATTTAGGGGTGGAACAGATGAACAGGAAAAAAGTCTGGAACCTGCATTTTCTGGAAGCGGGTCTAAATCTTGCTGTCAACACTGCCCACTCCCAAGGTGGCCTGAATGCACACAGCCCCACCGCACGGTGCAACATGAAACCGTGATTTTTGTTGTCACTTCCCAACCATGTCACACAAACACATAATCAGTGACTGTCTGCTGTCTAGATGCCAACCCACTGAATGACCACCCCTTTGATCGGCCACATAGTCGCATCTGCGACCCTCCACTGTTACAGGACATTGGAGCATTGATGTGCACAGTAAAACACTGGCAAAGCACAATTGTGCCTCCCCTACATGCCCCCCTCACCCTCCATCCCATGCCCCATCTTGGACTGTTTGGTTTGTGTGTGTTGTACTTATTTCCATTGGAGGTAGTGTGACACTAATTTTTTTGCATTGCCACCCCAATCGCTTGGGTACTCCAGCTCCATTCTTTTTTAATGCACACCTGCACTGGTGTGTTTATATGCAACTTAGGGTCAGGGTTAGGAGTGATTACTCCTTCAGAACTGCTCTCATGTTGGGGCATTTATATGCAGAGTGAAAAGTGTGCATTTTCTGAGCTATGTTGGAATAGCTTGGGTTCTTTTTGCACCAATTTTTAGCACTGAAGCATGGCTTTAATCTAGTTTCTGCCCGCTTTGGAAGCATGCGTCATCTAAACACCCTGCCTTCAAAGCAGGTGGAAACCACTTTATTTGGCCCATCTGTTTCAACCCTCAGTCTGGCTTCTCAGCAAAAGCCTCTCTAGCATGGTAGACCCTACCAGCAGCCCTGCTACCACCAGCTTCTTGCCCCACAATAGCATACAATCCCACCACTGTGGAAGGATTGTGCCATGATGAGCAAGCCATACTAGTGATGATATATTTATTGTGATATTGAAGTGCATGTATCTGCAATGTAATTATGAGATGAATAAAATAAAAATTTGGGACTATATTTTTTAAAGTTGAAGCTGGACAAATGTTACATTGCTGGCTTTGCACATTAATGGAGCACTCAAAAACAAAACCAATTATTAAAAATTAGACATATGGCAGGAAAAAGGATAGAATCAGGAAGTCTTGCATTATGTCAGAAAATAGCCAATAGCACACTACTTTCACACACAGCTATCACAGTATGTATACTAATTATTTTAGCATAATCACAAAACAATAAAAATGGTAGGGGACACATTTTGAAGCAAAGAACTGCCCAAAGTATTCTGGCCATTAGATTTATACTACAGTATATAGCTGAATGAGAACCAGTTTGGCTTAGTGGTTTGAGACCGGGAGTTGTTGTTGTGTGTCTTCAAGTAATTTCTGACTTATGACCCTAAGGTGAAGCTATCACAGAGTTTTCTGAGGCTGAGGGTATGTGATTTGCTCAAAGTCACCCAGTGGGTTTCCCAAAGCAGCGGAATTCAAAATCTTGTCTCCAGAATTATAGTCCAATGCTCCAGCCACTACACCATGCTGACTCCAGTCTCCAGACTGGGAGATCAAGGTTCAAATCCCTGCCCAGCCATGGAAACCCACTGGGTGACTTTGGGTAAGTCACACTTTCTCTTGGCCTCACAGAAAGAAAAAGGCAACCTGAACAAATGTTGGCAAGAAAACCCTATGAAAACCCCTTGCTGAGAAAACTTCTTCGGATTGCCACAGATGACTTGAAGGGACAGAACAACAATAGCATAGGTGAATATTTGAACTAAAACTTTCCGATTTTAATAGATTATATATTGGCAAAAAAATTACAGATCTCACTGATATGGATGGGAGAATATTCTTAACTTCCACTGAAAACAGTGGGACTTAAAAATACTTAATATTGGCTGAATTGCTGCCTTAACTGAGTTGAAGTCATTATTCATTTTGATAGCAACTGCAATAAGAAAGCTGATTTTCTGTGGTTTATAAATTAGTTCACATTGGTTCTACTTCTGTCATATTAAGAGCAACGCATTAAGTTATGAGGAAAGACCCCCAAACATTAGTACTATAATGCAATGCTTTTCTCTACAGGTCACTGTCACATTGTGCCCTTTTAATGTCCTCAAGAGAAATATCAAATATCTAAATGGGGGGATCGATTATGTGAGCACAGTGAAACACAAGACTTACAAACATGAGTCTTGCCCATATGTACAAGTGGGAAAGAAATCTACAATGGAACTGTAGGCATAAAATGCATAAAATTTGGGAGATTTATTCAATTCATCCATTATGAATCAATTTATTTTTTAAAAAATCTGCAAAATGTCTCCTCTTATGCTACAGTTGCCATCTGAATCCTCTCCAGATGATAAACTCCATCCCCTGTATACGTAGCTTTTAAAAATGGATTGGAAACTGATTTTTGTTGGAGGGGATATACACATAAGGACATTTTCTTTCAGATGTGGTAGGAATATGAAATTGCACATAATGTTTGGCCTAACATACTAAATTTGATTAGTCATAACACAGGCACCATTCAATCCAGACAGTATTCTGGTGTGTTTTCCCATCAATGGCATGATATTGAAATCAACATCCATTGCTGTTTTGTATATGTTATAGATAGCTGTATAGATTGATAGAGCCAGTGTGGTGTAGTGGTTTGAACATTGGACTATGACTCTGGAGACCAGGGTTCAATTTCCTGCTCAGTCATAGAAACCCACTGGTTGACTTTGGGTAGGTCTTACATTCTAAGACCCAGAAAACCCTGTGATAGCTTCATCTTTGGGTCACCATAAGTCAGAAGCAACTTGAAGATACACAACAACAACAACAACAACATAAAGTTATCTCCATTTTACTTCAGTTCATCAGTGGTTTGGCAAAGTGTGGGATTTTGTCACTACTGAGAAGATGAGCAACAGAGTTAAGGTTAGAGACATTGCCGTATTAGTCTGGAATATCAAAATGCAAAGGAATCTTGCAGCACCTTTGAGAATAACTGTGTGAGAGAAGTTGTAACATGAGCTTTCATAGAATTGGTTTACTTTATGCAACTGAGGAAGTAGACCCAATCTATGAAAGCTCATGCTACTACTTGTTTTGCAGTTAGTCTCAAAGGTACTGCAAGATCCCTTTGTATAGAGTTAAGATTAGTATGCACAAACTCAGAGGACTTTCTGTTTACATGAAGTCTATCAAGTTAATATCTCACATATCTTGTTGGATAAGCACACCTAGAATATGTTAATTTTTTGCATCCCTCACCCAGCATTGGCCATTCTGACCACTGAGAGCTGTCCAAAAAGGTATATTGCCAAGAACTGAAGATAAGCAACATAACCTATATAAAAGCAGGGTTCTATAAGACAATTTGGGCTTTCTGTTTTGTATTTTACTTTTCAGTACAAAATTTGTTCACCAATTCAGTGATAGCTAATTTATTGGTCTACAACTTGCTTTAGTTAAATTTATATTACTTTTTGTTTTCCATTTATTTTTGATCATTTTATTTATATCCAATTATTTTAGTTTTATTTATGCTATTATGTTTTATTTTTTTGTAAAACAGGTGAATGACTGTTAAAATGTTGATGAATAAAATATTTTTAAAACCCAAAACAAAGAAGAATACTACTTTAACAGATAATTTTGTCATTTTTGTTGAAAGTAATTAACATTTTCAAGACATTTCTCTATATTCATGAATGATAGCTACACATATGCCTACATGTTACAGTAGGTATTTTCAGGAGTTCCATAGTGTTGTGATTCATCAGAGCATTTTTAGCTGTATCTTATAAAAGGAGTGGATATGTTACTGGAGATGGGCATATCAGAACCTTTTTGATGCTTACATGGCTGGGAAAATATATTATTTCTGGTTAAGGAAGACATGTTGGCAGTGTGCAACAAGTGGACAATGACTATGATTGTATTGTACTTAAAACTTGAATGGCTTTAATCTGAAATATCAATGCTGTCTGGAAATTGAGGTGATTGCCTGACAGCTTGGTCACATCTCCTAGAGTGATGTGTTATCAGCCATATCATTTCAGAAACAAGGCCAGTCATTGAACAGATAAATTGTGCCAGAAAATTACCAAAGAAGCAGACCAAAATCAAGAGAAGGGGTGATACATATAAGCTTGCAGTACAATTTTTATTTATTTATTTATTGCATTGTTAGTGTTTCAGTGTTTGGGATTGATAGATCTCACAGTCACCTTCTATGAAAGATATCTTATTATTTTCCCATTTTCAAAAGTGATATGCAGCCTAGCCAAGAAGGGAAAGGGCTTGCTTTTTAGTACTATTAAAGACATATTTTAAAAGCACTGTTATTATATCTTCTAACCACAGTAAAAGGATAATCAAATGTCATTAGGTTTTGCAACAAATGATTAGCTACCAAGATTTTATTGTTCTGCTTCCTACTCTCCAAATCCTGCGAAGTAGTTTGTAATAAAATAGGGTGAAACATTCATAAGCTAATAAAACGAGCAAAGAATAAAAACATTAAACAGTAGTAAAACAGACAGATATTAAGGCATTTTTAAAAGATGGAACTCTACATTATCCTTCTATATACAGTGAGGGAGAGACAGAGAGCCAAGGAAGACTATTGTAGTAAAGTGTCCTAGTAAGTATGTGTCATTGAATAAGAAGCAGGCAGCCAATACAGAATTTGTATAATATGGGCTCACCTAGATAGTTAGTTAGAATTCTGTCTGCTGGATTCTACATTGGCTGAAGCCAATGTGAAAGGGATCTAGGCATCTCAGTAGCCGAACATGAGTCAACACTGTGATGCAACTGCTAAAAAGACCAACATGATTCTAGATAATAATAATAATAATAATAATAATAATAATAATAATAATAATTTCTTACCCATCTCTCCCCATGGATCAAGACAGGGAACAACAACAATTAACAAACAAACAATATCAGTTAAAACACATTAGTTAAAACACACATCAGTTTAAAAGGACAAACAAGACATATTCAAACAATCCACATCTAAAATTAATCATTTAAAATCCACAATTTAAAAATCATCTGGATACGTCTGGCAGAAGAGACTGGACTTTAATGCTCTTTTAAATTCAGACAGTGTATTTGGGTGTCAAATCTCTTCCAGCATGTCTTTTCAAAGTCTAGGAAAAAGCCCTCTGGCTGACAATTGCCAACCTAGTTCTGGCTGATTGGAATAAACACCCACTAGAGGACCTGAGCATATGGGGCAGATTATATGAGAAAAGGCAATCCTGTAGGTAACCCAGATCCAAACCATGTAGGGCTTTAAAGGTAATAACCAACACTTTGTACCTTGTCTGGAAACTAACTGGCAGCCAGTGGAGTGATTTTGATATTGGTGCAATGTGATCACTCCTGGATGTCCCAGTAATCAATCTGGTTGTTGTGTTTTGAACTAACTGAAATTTCTGAACTTCTGTCTGGGAAAGCAGCCAACAGAGTAGCTGATAAGAACAATGTCAGGCTCGAGCACAAAAGCAGTTGCTAAGTACTGTACCAGTCTGAATGTTCCAGAAAGCCAAAACAGGGATTCAAGAGTCCACAAAGCAAAGCAATGAATACAGCCCGAGGTCCAGGGTTCCAGCAAGCAGGTCATCCAATCCAGTCCAAAGGTCACGAATTCCAAGTCAGTCCAAAGTCAGTCATGGAGTCAAGAGTCCAAAGCTTCCACCATCAAACTCAGATAGGCTCTGACAAAGAGCTCGGCTTCTCCCAGCTGTTTATATGGCCCAGCTCCCACTCACAGCTGTTCGGACTTAGCTGCGTGTTTCTTATATAACCCGAGAGAACACCAGAGGCATGCCCTTTTTGTCCTTCTCTGACTAAAGGTAGGTATCTCCCACGCCTGGAACCTCTGCTGGGGGGAGGCTTTCTGCTGGGAGGAGGCTAGGCTGCTGAGGCAGGGGCTGTGGTTCAGTGGGTCCCACAGAGCTAGGTCCAGGTTCAGCTAAGTCCACTGGAGCTGGTAGAGTCAAGCTAGAACCTGGCTCAGCATCCTCATCCTCTGAGTCCTCCATGTCCTCAGCCTTGGTACAGAAGTAGCCCAATGTAGAGCACATTACAAAAGTGCAATCTTGAGGTTACCAGAGCATGCTCTATTATCTTTAGGTCCTTCATTTCTAGGTAGGGGTATAGTGTCTATATCAAGGGAAGTATCAATAGGATCAATAGGAGGAGACTATCGCTCTGCACTCTTAAAATGGGGCTAGGCCACTTTAACTGCTCTGGCTGCCTCCTGTTGCAGTCTGGAACTTGTAGTTTAGGAAGAGGCATTTAGAATATTCAGCCAGAGAGCTTTTAAGCCTCACTGAACTACAAACCCCAAAATTCAACAGGAGGCAGTCAGAGCAGTTAAAGTGACCTAGCCCTGTTTTCAGAGTGTGGTGCAATAAATTCAGGAGTATAGTGTCTAGATCAAGGGAAGCAAAGGTACCACTCTATTCTGCTTTGGTCAGGCCTTACCTGGAATCTTGTGTTTTTATATTTTTGGGGGTAGGGTAGTATGATGCTTTGCATTTTCAATGGAGAAGCCTTCTTTTACTGTCCAATCATCTCATGACCCCTGTGAGTATGACCTAATCATACAAAGACCTTTCCTCTATAAACATCATGTTTTAAAGGCTGTTAAGATGGATCTCTTCCAGCAGGCCTTCCCTGATTGATTCCCCAGCCTCAGGAGTCCCCTTATCCCTCCTTTATTTCAGCTACAATTACTGCCCCGCCTACTATTTGTTTGTTTGTCTATGGATTGTTTTTAATTATGTGTCTTAACCATCTTGTTTTAACGTTAAAATTGTTTAATTCTCCCTTAAGGGGTGGGAGGGTTGTGGGATCTTGGATTGTATTTTAATATTGTATGGAGTTTTAAACTGTTGTGAGCCACCTCGATTACTTGACAGGAGGCGAGATATAAATAAAATTATTATTATTATTATTATTATTATTATTATTATTATTTAGAAAATGTGACTCTATCACTATCATTGTCCTTTATCTGCTTTAGAATACTGTGAATTTCTAAAGTTATCACAATTAATTTTGTGCATTTTTTTGCTGATCTAATAAAGATATAATCACAGTATGGACAGTGGGGACTCTGCACAGATGAGCATTGAGCCAAATTGTTTGAGTCTGCAATGATTTATGCTTTGAGCACTCCATATGTTGGCACACACATGGATTATGGAGCTATCTGGTGTGTTGGCCCATTACTGGAGTTGTTAGCTTGGGTTTAAAGTTCTTTGATTTAGGGTCATGAAAACTACTTCCTCCCAAGAAGCCATGTATCATCTGGATTTCTTTGATCAATTTAGTTCAGTTGGAGGTAGATACACAAGAAGCATCCAAATGATTGGGTAAAATTCTCTGGGTATCTTGTATACTTCCTCAGGCTACATCATTTAAAATAGATCTCATAACCAAACCAAATTAAGGAGCCTTCTGGACATTCTCATGGAACTGTATTTATCACAGCATCAAGGCCAGAGCAAATGTGAGAGCCTTTACCTTCAAAATGCCTGTCACTGCCTCATATTTCCTTCAGTTGGCCCTTCTTGACTTCCATATACCATAGCCCTTAATATATAGAAAACGGGTTTGCAAAAACTGCTTTCTTGTTTATGGGTCAGACTATTTTAGCAAGATTCCAGGAGGGAATCTAAATGTTCAGCTCT